CAGTTGGTCAAATGACCATATATAAGAAAGGGAACACTACTTGTTATGGGGGCCCCGAGTGGCCGGCCCAGTGGTCTAAAGCGCTGACCGTTACTGATCACTGCCATCTCACCTCTGTGTATGTGAGTTCCAGTCCAGACTCAGCTAACGTGGGTAAGTGAGAAAGCCTGCCAGTAGCTTCTCGTGGGTCGGTGGTTCTTCCCGGGATTTTCCAAGGTTCTTCCTCCACCATTAATACTGGCCGCCATGTATAGCCTCTCTTGTGCTGAAAATGGCATTAAACCCTATAACAACAACAACAACTACTTGTTATGTGAACCAATGAAGTATACTTTCTAAAATCAATTGTATATTTAAATATGAAAGAAAGTGTTTTCTCTGATATTAAAAGTTTAATCACATGTAGCATTTTCATTATACAAGTAAAAATCATAAATGGGCAACTATAGTGTCAAATAACTAGCACAATTCTTCTTCAGAAAAGGAAACAAACAAGAAAAATTGAGGGTCATTGTTCAAAAACTTTTCTTTGCAAGATTAGCAGATCAGGATTGTAAAAGTCACTTCCCTCAGCATCACACTGATCAGAAGACAATAGCTTAACTTTACAAATGACTAGGACTAAGAACTTGACATTTAAATGTAACCATAAACAATTAAAAAAAAGCAACGGGACACATATTAATTGAAATTACACTCATACAGACTACACGAAAGATGAAATCAGCAATTGGACTTTATTACTTATAGGTGCCCAAAAATTGAAATTTAAAACCAATATCTCTGGCTAAAATTAAACTGAGTCCTTGTTCAAGCTGAGAGTATTTATAACTTTGTCTGTTTTGAAGATAAAATGGCACACTGACTAACAGACACAAGAAAACAAGATATTAATTTCTACACTTACCTAAATTACTTATAGATATACTCCCATCCATGTGTCCGATAACAACTTTGTTGGAGCGTTTGGGGTGCCAACGAATCTGACAAATATCAGAATTCATGTTTGCTGTTTCTTTTACAGTCGACACTGCCATTGCCGAACCTCCCTGGTACTGCCAAATGTACACAGGACCTCTCCCAAATGCATAGGAGACGCCCTCTCCACTGAGGAGAGACCAATGAATGGAGATTGGAGTGCCTTTTGCATTTTCAAGGATTGATATGGGTTTCTGTTTAGGGATGTCCCAAACAATAATTCGATTATCAGAACTGGAACTGGCCAGAATGTCGGAGTTGAGGGGATTCCATGATATTGCTGTCACAGTCTTTTTATGGTCAGAGAGAATGGACAGCAGACGGAACTCATTAAATGTTTTGTCGAGCTGAAATTGCAAGAATGCTGTATTTGATTATTTGGGATCATTTTAAGTTCACAGCATTTAAACATTTGTTAGAATATGAAGAATTTGAGCCTCGCGGTCTTTCCAGAGAACTCTGCCAAATATCAACACAGAGCAAATCAAATGAGTGATATTCCTACACAAGACCAAGTACTCAATATTATGTAAATAATAAACATGCAATGAATATATATATATATATATATATATATATATATATATATATATATATATACACACACACACACATATAAATACATACATACATACATACACACACACACATATATATATATACATACATACACACACACACACATATATATATATATATATATATATATATATATATATATATATATATATATATATATATATATATATATATATATATATGCAATAAACTGACAAAAACAGTGCAAAACTAGTATCTAACTAGCCTGAGCACTTTCAACTCTTAATGAGTCTCTTTCAAAGGCAAATACAGAACATAGACAAGACAAATAAATCTTTACATGACTATTTCTATAGGAATTAAATTTTAAATTTGTTATGTTTTGACTAATTTATTTCAACCTGTTGCAGATGATAGAAAATATTTTATATGGACTTAGAAATCAATGAGCCATAATGACATCTGTTATTTTATGCAAATTTATGTAAGTACAAATTATATTCTGGATATTTCATTGTTACAGAAAGAAATAATGGATATCGGGTGACTAATAAGCAAATTTAGACAATTATTTAAAAGAAAATTTGTCAGCTGCATAAAGATAATTTTATTTGGGTGTGGCTGCCTTTTTCTAGTCTTCTTGATTAAAACAGCTTGGTTTCAATTTTTTAAGGTGGCATATGTGTGTGCATATATATATATATATATATATATATATATATATATATATATATATATATATATATATATATATATATATATATATATATATATATATATATATATATATATATAAGCATAAAAAAAAAAGAAGTGTATCCATGCAGGATGTGCATTTCTAATGTTTAAAGCAATTAATGTCACAAATTGCACATGCCAAGAAAGGTCAAACTGACCTGAGCATATAAACAAATGGCAGAAATGTAAATGCTAATCAACAAAGCCTCCCAAAAACAAAAAATTAAATTTTCAAGGTAAAAAGTGGAAACATTATCAACAAAACTAGTTATGGGACAGGAAAATAAGATGGATGATTTAGAATTTAGATAATCAATTATATATGTGTCATTTTGAATGTGCAGGGCACATGTTGTTGCTGCTGCTGAGTAGAAAAACTCAATAGATTGATAATCTAATACTTGACTGTAATTAGATCCCTGTTCTTTGTGCTTAATTGATTCAGGGTTCAATAAATCTTTTGCCTGGAGCCCAAGACAACCAAAATACTAAAGATGGGCTAATACATGTGGAATTTAGGTAGCCTAGTGGGCAACTCAATGGTATAGTGGCTTCATCTGCAATTTTACGACTTGTAACTTAAATCAAATATACAGCTTTACAAGGACAATAAGTATGATTCGCTGATAAATAAGAAAAAGGAAAGTCTTGAAGCAAATGGTTTCATATAAAATAATTTATCTGGGCTAATACTCTCAAAATGAATTACCAGCTTCTCTTTCTTTAGTAGTCCAAGCAAAGAAATAGTAATTCTACCATTTCAGACAAAACAATAAAGAATGTGCTTAAATGGAAAAACTGGGCTAGGCATAATATGAACATACATGTGTATAATTTTAATTTTAATTTTTATTTTAACTGACCAACCAGCTTTAGCCATAACTTTGAAAAATTGATAAAATGTCTTAAAAGTCAATGAGGATTAATATAGTGATAAGAAGGCAAGATTTTCTCTTTAATAGGTATGCATTTTCAATCTGACCCAATCTGATGATGTTAATAGTAGTTTTGTTGTAACAAATATCTGTTTTGCTATCTCAGCTGTAAAACTCATTTTGTGGCAGGACAATCAGATAAAAATATTTCCCAATCCTCAAGCTGGACAACGATCTCACCTGTGACTTGTGCAATGTATGACTTTCAAAACACTTGAAAACAAAACTTTAATATAGAATCTAAACATAGATATAGCTGCTGCTACCAACAGGATAAGTCACACCTTTTTACTTGCAGTCAAATAATAATAGACAGGCCATATAAAACTTACCTGGTACACATAAATGGCCAGAGTGGCACAGTAAGCAAATCGGTCTCCACTGGCATCACATACATCACTGTACCATGGCTGACAGCCAGCTGCTAAAAGTCCTACCTGCTTCACCATTATACTGGACTATACAGCCTTCTCTGTGCACTATATTACCTCTTCTGAAACATCCCCCCCGAAAAAACCATTATAAAAATTCTCCCTCAAGAAAACTTTACAATATAAGAATGTTAATATTAAACTATGGTAACCTCAAGGATAATGCGGAGATATTAACAGCATCTTCAAACACTTTTTCTAGCTCATTTCTTAAATAATACTTTTATAATCCTTTATAATTATTATTGTTCAAATGTATGTATGTATGTATGTATGTATGTATGTATGTATGTATGTATGTATGTATGTAGTATGTATGTGTGTATGTATGTATGTATGTATGTATGTATGTATGTATGTATGTATGTATGTATGTATGTATGTATGTATGTATGTATGTATGTATGTATCTATGTATGTATATATATATATATGTGTGTGTGTGTGTGTGTGTGTGTGTGTATATATATATATATTGATGAAACCTTGAAGCCAAATTTTACCAGTCATATATTAAAAGATAGGAACATAAGAATATGAAATTATCAAATTAGAGATATATTTGTGTAACTTAAAAAATATAATTTAAATGAGCTATGGAGAAAACAAAACAAACTGAAAAGGTTTCCTATTCTTCTGGGAGAAACATCAATCATCAAAAAAAGTTCTGCTTGATCTTCATAAAACAATCATGATACAAGAGGCCCAAGCAGACCTGGGAATGTTCACCTCCCTGACATAAACCTAACAGTCAAACGCAAGTGTTGTTGGCCAAGAAATCTGGGTCAGTATGACACTTTTTGTAAAAAATTATTTCTATGCATGTTATTAAAATGATTGTTTCATGGTAACTTTACATTTTGTATTTTCATCAATATCTGCTGGAATACAGCATCATCAATCTGATAATGATAGGTCTTCATGCCAGGATACAGTCTATCAAAGCTGGTCAAATTCTGTTCAACAATTTGTGTGTATATATGTGTGTGTGTGTATGTGTGTGTGTGTGTGTGTGTGTGTGAGAGAGAGAGAGAGAGAGAGAGAGAGAGAGAGAGAGAGAGAGAGAGAGAGAGAGAGAGAGAGAGAGAGAGAGAGAGAGAGAGAGAGAGAGAGAGAGAGAGAGAGAGAGAGAGAGAGAGAGATTGAGATCTGGATTTTTAATGAAGCTTTAACAATTTTTCAGTCATACTGCTATGATGTCTGTAAGTGGCAGTTTATAGCAATATCGAGCACTGAGGCATCATGCTGCAGGCATGTAACATTATGTCCTACCCAGTCCCATTATCCTGACACCAGGCCAACTAGTTCCAAAAATAACCTTTAAATGCTGAGCACATAGCGAGGTAGCTGTTAGTGTCATTTTTACAAGTCTTTGGTATGACTTGGATGGGATTCGCACCCACGATCTCCTTCATCCAAAGGCAGACGTTTTAACCACTAGGCCACCAAAGATGTCTGTCTTTAGTAATGTAGGCTATATTTTATGGCAGTTCAGTATCATTTGTACATATTAGTGATTAGCCCTATGTGACAAATCAGGTAATATTCTTTGCAAAATGCCTAAAAAGTCTCCCAACTATTTAGTACTTTAGCTATATTTGTTGGATGGTCAACATCATTTGAAAACAACTTATACACACTTCAATAAGTATGCTTTCTGTCATTTAAAGATTTTTTTTAAAACTTTAGTAATTGGAGCCATATTTTCTGGTCAGCATCATTAGTACAAACTAAGGTTTTCATGACAGGATGCTTTCTGTCAAATTTTGCAAATTTCTATTGAAATTGTTTTAAGATTTTCCTACTTGTAGTAACTATATAGCAGCCATATTTGATGGTGGATAAGCATATTGCACAAATCAGAAAGGCCTACATGAAATGGTTCCTTCTATTATTTCTATTGAGCTATATTTGACAAGAACTTGAAAAAATGTTGTTCTAGTTTTAGTAATCACAGCCATATTGATGGTAGATCACGGCTATTTAGAAAAAATGGAAAATTCATGCAATGATAGTATTAGCAGAGTTAAGTTAAATTTGGAAAAGTGTCTTTCTAGAAGTTTAAAATAGTAATTCTTAACACAGAGACATAATAAATATATAACAGAAACAAAAAAAACAGACCTAACAAATGAACAACAGAGACATAATAAATGCACAACACAGAGACATAATATATGCACAACATAAAGACCTAATAAATACACAACACAAATACATAACAAATGCATAACACAGAGACCTAATAAATGCACAACACAGAGCTAATAAATGCATAACACAGAGGCATAACCAATGCACAACACAGACATAATAAATGCACAACATAGACATAATAAAAGCACAACACAGAGACCTAACAAATGCTCAAAACAGAGACATAACAAATACACAACAGACAATAAATGCACAACACAGACACAACAAATGCACAACACAGAGACCTAAGAAATGCACAATGCATAGACATAATAAATTCACCACACAGAAACATAACAAATACACAACACAAATACCTAACAAATGCACAACAGAGACCTAACAAATGCACAACAGAGACCTAACAAATGCACAACACAGACATAAAAAAATTTGTTATGCACAACACAGGTATAACAAATGCATAACACAAAAACATAACAAATGCACAATGGACACATAATAAATGCACACCACTGAGACATAATAAATACACAATACAGAGACATATTAAAAGCACAACAATGAGACAAAACAAATGCACAACACAGAGACTTAACAGATGCACAACACTGAGACATAACAAATGCACAACAGAGACCTAACAAATGCACAACACAGAGATTTAATAAATGAACAACACAGAGACATGATAAATGCACAACAGAGACATAACAAATTCACAACAAAGAGACTTAATAAATACACAATAGAGACCTAACAAATGCACAACACAGACATAATAAATGCACAACACAGAGACATAAAGACCTAACAGATGCACAACAAAGAGACCCAACAAATGCACAACACAGAGACATAAAAAATTCACACCGCAGACATAACAAATGCATAACAGAGATCTAACAAATGCACAACAGAGACCTAACAAATGCACAACACTGAGATGTAATAAATGCACTAACACAGAGACCTAACAAACGCATAATAGAGACATTATAACTTCACAACACAGCGACTTAACAAATGCATAAGAGACATAAACAATGCACAACACAGAGACATAACAAATGCACCACACTGATACTTGACAAATGCATAAGTGAGACATAACAAATGCACAACAGACATAATAAATGCACAACACCAAGACATAAATGCATAACACAGATATATAACAAATGCACAACACAGAGAGCTAATAAATGCACAACACAGACATAACAAATGCACAAAACAGAGACAAAACAAATGCAAAACACAGAGAAAATAAATACACAACACAGAGACCTAATAAATGCAGAAAACTGAGACATAACAAATGCACAACACAGAGAAATAACAAATGCTCAACACAGATACATAATAAATGCACAACACAGAGACAACAAATGCACAACACAGAGACCTAATAAATGCACAACACTGAGACAAATGCACAACACAGAGACAACAAATGCACAAAAAAGAGACATAAATGCACAACAGAGACATAACAAATGCACAACACAGAGACCTAAAAAGTGTACAACAGAGACCTATAAAATGCACAACACTGAGACTTAACATAAGCTCACTCAGACTTTTGAAAAGGTGAGTCAAAAAAACTTTTTGGAATAAATTTATTTTATTTTAAAAATCAAATAATACTGTGGTCTGCCTCAAGAGAGAAAAGAGACATATATCAATAACATGACCTTTTACACTATCAATTTACACTCCTATGCTTTAGAACCCTCCACTGCAGACACACACACACACATACACACACACATACACACACACACACACAAAGGTAATTTAAGCTGCTTAATTCACATAACTGCAATATTCAACATTATCAGTTTTGGTAAGCTAACTAACTTAATGTGCAAAACTGAAAAACCAAGAAGACCAAATAAATACAGAACAGAGACCAATTAAAAAAGAAACTATTTTCAAAATGTTTTTAAATTTAACCCATAAAGACTGTTAGCAACATAGGGATACAATACATTATGAGATCCACCTTGCCCATACACAAACAATTTAATGCTATTCCACAAATAATAATAATTATTAAAAATTCATACACACTTACCTTTCTACAGCCTCCAGAATCAACTATACAATCCAATAATAATAATACCAATGTACAAAATGTTCATTCATACAATCACTCCATTGATTAATTGATCTATGCAGAGTTTCTATGGCTTGGGCTAAAAATACTATCCAACGATAAATCCATACTGACAGTGTTCTTCGTAAACAGGAGTATCACTGACACAGCTCATGAAAACTGTAATCTTGTATTAATTCATTATATTTTCATGTTTCATTTTTAATAGTTACATAATGAAAGCTATTTATTCTTTACTAGAAAATAAACTTACTTTAATATATAAAATGTAAAATGTTTCTATATTTTTTTTGTTACAAACTTGTTCTATCTTTGTGAAACAATTACTCTGATGATAAGAAGTTAATCTTCTTGCCAATTTACTGTATACATCAATTCACTGATAATATGAAAATTTATAATATAATACACTAAATCCCACATTACAGATGTTTTAAAACTGTAGTACAATCATCAATACACTTTCTCTATGTGACTTTCAATTTACAAACTGCTTGTCTGGCAGTCCTAAATTTTCATCCTGGTATTGATCGTCTTCTCTTAACACACAATTTTTGGTGATTTGGTTTTCTTCTGACTTTCACAAGATTAACATTTTTTCTTCTCATTCAAGTGTCTTGTTACACCAGATTTTATTCCATGTGCTAAATTAATGTAAACTGCAAAGACCTACCTACATCTTTCTTTATTCTATGTGCTAGATTTATGTTAATTGCATAGACCTTGCTACATCTAACTTTACTCCATGTGCTAGATTTATGTTAATTGCATAGACCTTGCTACATCTAACTTTACTCCATGTGCTAGATTTATGTTAATTGCATAGACCTTGCTACATCTAACTTTACTCCATGTGCTAGATTTATGTTAATTGCATAGACCTTGCTACATCTAACTTTACTCCATGTGATAGATTTATGTAAATTGCATAGACCTTGCTACATCTAACTTTACTCCATGTGCTAGATTTATGTAAATTGCATAGACCTTGCTACATCTAACTTTACTCCATGTGATAGATTTATGTCAACTGCGTAGAACATGCTACATCTTTTTTTCATGTGCTAGATGCATGTCAACTGCACAGACCATGCAAAATAATAATGTCCTTTAAGTCTTTCTCCATTAAAACAATAGACTAATTTAACATTTATGGTAGTACACAATATAAAACTGGTGAAATAATAGTATCACTAATAATTATAATGGCAGGAATTACTGATACACCATCTCTGTACATATACAGTATGCACAAATGACCTTTATGTGAATATGGTCTCAAAGCTGAAAGAACCTCAAACTCATTTTCTTTCTCTACCTGTGACATATGTATGCGAACTTGTCCACATCACTATCATCATAATTACTTTCAAATGGATGAGTGTTTGTATGCAACATTCATTTTTAATATATAAATTAACAATTTTTCAGATATATCACTACAATGTTTGCAGTGTGACAGTTTATAGTGATGTCTCTCACTGGGACATTATGACGCAGACATGTAGCATGTCCCACTCAGTCACATTAACCTGACATCAGGCCGACCAGTCCTAACAATAACCTCTTAATGCTTAGCACTAAGCAAAGCAGCTGTTAGTACCAATTATACAAGACTTTGGTATGACTTGGCCAACGTTTAAACATATAACCTCCCGCATCTGACAAAACAACTTAATTCATTCACAAACAAATTTAATCAACCAAAACTTAAAACATCTACTACATGAGTGTGCATGGTTTGTTTACAAAGTAGTTCCAAATAAACTGTACTGTTTTTAGGCACATGTGTTGTGCAGTTTGAAGCCATGCAATATGGAATAATACAGCGAAATTCTAACAATGTAAAGCTAATGGAAACAAATTGACTGTAAGTTGACTGTAAAATTAAACTTGTCCTTTGTAGATTTGAAGAAAAAAATTATCACAACTAAAAAGTATTAAATAAAGAATATAATGTTTTAATGAGATTGCATTATATTTATTTTACAATTAAAGAATTATGACACCAATTTAATTGACTTAATTATTTCCCAGACAGTTGGTATAAAAGCAGTCTGCTGTAATAAAACATAAAAAATGATGATAAAAAAGATGATAAACACAGCTTGTGGGTGCTAGATTTTCATGTTTATAATCATTATAGACAAGTGCATTTCACTTCAAAACACACC